CCCCCCCCCCCCGGAAAAAAAAAAGAAGAAGAAGAAAGGCTGGAGGAGGCTATTGCCTGCATGTCTTTCTTTTTCGTAAATCATTTGCAAATTTTTGAGATCATTGAGTTGTTTTGCAGCTAGATGACGAGTACATCATCATCGGATCAGCCAACATTAATCAACGATCCATGGATGGTCTTCGCGACACCGAGGCAGATATCGGAGCCTACCAGCCGTACTACGCATACCCAAGTCGGAGAGGCCAAATTCACGGCTTTCGGATGTCGCTGTGGGCGGAGCATATGGGTGGTGTCGAGGAGGTTTTCCGGCACCCGTCAACACCTGAGTGCCTCAAGAGAGTTCAGGAGATTGCGCGGGCAAATTGGCAACAATACACGGCCGATCAAGTGACAAATATGCAAAGTCACATCGTCCCATATCCGATTTCAGTGACGGAAGACGGAAAGGTCACTCATTTGGACGGTTTCGCGAACTTTCCAGATACAGATGCAGATGTGCTCGGCCATAAATCCTTTGTTCTCCCAGACGTTCTAACAACATAGCCATAGCCACACGCCAACCGTGCCTCTGTGGCATTCTGAGGACAAGGTTTTTTTTTTTTTTTTTTTTYTTCCCTGAGGACAGTTGTCCTTTGAAATTCTTCTTTCTTCTATTTCCTTCTGCTTTTTTTTTATTTTTTTCTGTTCTTGAATTTGTACAGTAACACAATAATAATCAATTCGCCAGGTCCAACTGTTCTTGAATTTGTATAGTAATACAATAATACCCTTTTAAAAAGACCAATTCACACATGCATGCGGAAAAGGGCATCCAATTCACACATGCATGTGGAAAAGGGCATGGCATTGATTCCTGGGAAAAACAATGGGGCGGGAGATTGAGTAAAAGTTGCAAAAAAGAGGGCAGGGACGGAGGGTCCTTTGGGAGTACAAGAGTCGATTTGGTGAAAATAGGACTGACAACAATAATACTCTTTTAAGAAGCTTCCTGGACGAGATACCGAGGGCCTCTATCCCGAACCGGCAGATCGGCAAGATGCTATGAGCCCGAATGGTACTGGAAAAATTGCGCAGAAAGTCATTATGGCAGGGTCAACAAATTTCCCCAAGAGCAGGGGAGTTGCCAATTGGCACCGGGGGAGAGATGAAAGGGTGAGTTTCGCGGAGCCCAAGTTTCGTTGCATAAAATACATCTTTCGTTGCAAGTTTACAGGTCCCGGTAGTTTCACAGCAAAAATATTTGGGGTGGGGTCGCACTTTCGTTGCAAAAAGTACATCTTTCTTATGGACCCGGACAACATCTCCGCTAGGAAACTTCGAAATCGCGGTATTTTTGCAATTACCCAGAGAAAAACAGGTATCAAAGATGGGAAATGCAGGGAGTCGTCCTTCGGGTCATACGAGAAAATTGGACCGGGTACAGAGAACATTAGCATGGCCGCTGTGCAAGAGGAGAGGGGGGGGGAGAACGGAGAAGGGGGAAAAAATGTCAGTGAACGGCTGGAACTAGTCGGGGACTGCCAGGCGTCATGATCCCTTTCCATGGTTTATGACTCTGATGTGGCAGTGAGAACGAGGTGGTGGCATAGCTTGTAATGCTTTGCTATTGCGGCTTCTTGGTGCTTGGTGCTTTGAAGTTGTTCATCGTTTGAGATAATTCTTTTCGAGCTCTCTCTTTTCACGTACTTGCGTCATGGTAGCCACAATTGAGTGTCCTTTGCGTGATGGTCAGACCTTGCGTTGACTTCGCTGTGCTTTCCACACGCATGCTTCCTTCCAAATTTGATAGAGGTGGCAGGGGCTTGGGAGGAAGGGCCTTAGCCACCTGCCCGTTGTTGGGGGCTCGGCTCTTGAAATGTAGATGAAGTGTTGTTGTTTTGTTTTGTTTTGTTTTGTTTTGTTTTGTTTTGTTTTGTTTTTCGTGCCAAGGTCTTGCAATAGGATGCATAGGGCCTTGCTGCACTACTCTTGACAAGCGAAAAAGACAAAAAATGGTGATGTATCTGTCCATGTTCTAGGGGTGGATTCAGTCTCACTTTGCACACTTGAAGAGTAGTGCAGAGAGGCACATAGTTCAGCTGCAACAACCTGGTTGTGAGCATGTTTTTTTTTTTTCATTTTTTTTCCTTTCCCTCATGGGAGACTGGAGAAGGTACATCACGATGTGGCGGATATACAGCACGCGGATATGAATCAGAGAAGTAATTCCGATGAAGGCCAGACATAAATTAGAAGGGGTCGCAGTGAAACGAGTTAACGATCACCTGTTATTAGATTTGCGGGTTTTCTAGGAAGCATCGTTCCACGTACGATTTCAAACTCCAGAATGTTTTCACATTTTGCATGTCGAGGGGTTGCCCTAACTTCTCAAGTCTACCTCAGCCAAAACGACGAAAATCTCAAGGGCGCCTCGGGCGGTCAGTCTAGGAGTCACTGAGTCAGATCTGTGAAGATCTGTGCAGATGGAGCAAGTGAAGAATTCAGAAGAAAGCATACACAGATGTACGCAGACTTTCAACAAGCGGTCAATGACAGCATCGTCACAAAGTACAAATCAAGTAGAAAACTCATCAGAGAAGGTCTCATCAGAGCTTAGCAATTCAAACATCTGTGATTTGATCTGATCTGACCGTGTCGCCGGTCCATCTCAACTGTTACTTTTTTAAAGATTTTTTTTTTATATTTTTTTTCCATCTCAACTGTTTTCGTTGAGGGGCTGTGGAAGGGAAAAAATGGGTTAAGGGAGATTAATCCCTTTTCCCAAGTTAGGCTGCCGTTGAATCTTGAGTATTTCCAAGTGGTGGATTGAGGCCCTTAGAGGGGAGTAAGTGCACATGTCTGAGGCTGGGTATCCTTGACAGTGTCGGTCAAGGTAACAAAAGCCCGTAGGGTTTCCCGTTGATAGGGCTGTGATACTACCTTCTTCCCCGAACACAACGCACCCTCATTTTGACTGCATCGGGCTGGAAACGTACCTTATTTACGTTCATTTTCAGGGTGTGTTATGTTCGGGGCAAGACTGTAGTAATGCTCATATCATCATCTTCTTCACAAATCGTAAGTCAAGGGTTTTCATTGTCTTATAGTAGTTCTATGAAAAGAGTGAGCCTAGTGGTCATGTAAATAATCAAACACTGAAGATATAGACCCTGTCATTCGAAATGACAACGCCAATATTTGGAATATTAAGACATTTGGTTGCCCCCCCTTCCGCCTTCTCTCTCTCTCTCTCTCTCTCTCCCCACACACACACACAGTCTAGCAGACGTGGCTCTCTCTCTCTCTCTCTCTCTCTCTCTCTCTCTCTCTCTCTCTCTCTCTCTCTCTCTCACACACACACACACACGCACACAGTCTAGCTGTTGCATACTGTAACGTGCAGACCAGAACAAGAACCGACCTCTCAATACAAAGTACAAGATAACACAGCGGAAGACTTAGATATGAATGATCCGAACAATCAATATTGCAATGCAGCTCTGAACACACATCATCATCATCGTTATCTGGTGTGAAGGGAGTCTGGCGCTTCACACAAGAAGACTGCGCCAGCCCCAAMCATACACAGACGAAGAAGGAGGGGATTAGTCGAAAGAGGAGGGGAAGATGGGAATGTCGTCAACACCAAGTCTCGGTACAGGCCCAAATAGTCCCTCGTCGAAATGTCTGAATCCCAATGTCCAGTCTGGATCCAATGTCGTCAAGTCTCAAGTCACAACTCTTTCTCTCTCTGTCGTATCTAAGAAGTCAGGTGGCGAGAGGGTGAGAAGAGATGGCGGACTTAGAAGAGGAAGAAGAAGAACTCTCTCTCTCTCTCTCCAGAATGTCAAAGGATACTGCCTCACTTGCGTGAGGGGCAAAGTACACTAGGATGCTGTCAATGCACCGGTCGATTGACTTGTGCGTGTGACCGTCCGCCAATGTGACTTGCGTAGGCTGGGGCTTCCTCCGGACGCGTGGGCCAAGGTCGGCGCGCACCATGAATTCTTGGCTGATGTAGTTGCGAGATGCTCCGCAATCGATCAAAGCGCTGCAGGTCGCTTCTCCGATCTGAATGTGTACGTATAGCAATGGTGCGTCGATGTCGTTGTACCGTTGCGTCTTGAACTCGCGGTCGATCTTCGCAATGTAGACGTGAAGGTCTACAACATTGGTCCATCTTTTGTGGATTAATGAGATACCAAACAAATAAAAGGGGTCTCTGCTTAGCCCGGATGCCTGCAACCGCTGTCTGGGCAGATCACCCCGCCACAATGGTGATGGGTGATGGTCCTGGGT